GGGGGGCGAGGTGCGGGTCAGAGTCCCACTGTTTGCTCCTCTCTCCCTCCTCCTCAAAAGCCTTCTCCCTCCGCTGCCTGCCATGTCCTTCCAGCTCCCCCGCCCATGGGCCCAGGCCCAGGCCCGAAGCCTGTGAGCCCCGCCTCCTCCTGTCACTGCTCACGTCGAGCACATCCTCCCGCCTGGTGTTAATGGATTTTGCACATGTGTCTCACCTCTGCAGGCCCAGAAGTGCCCCTCACAGGCGACCTACAGCGCTGCCCACGAGGTGTTTGTGGATTAAGTGAATTGATGAATAAACGAATGAGGCACAAAGTGTTCTCTGAGGGTTACTATGAGCCCCTCGGGAAGATCCTGTGTCCTAGCAACTGGTGGCCTCGCATGGCCCACTCCAGCCACAGCCCGCTCCCCACCCCGGATCTCTGGGTTCTGGGGTTGCCGACCCACAAACTGGGCTTGCTTTGAGGAGGGCCCCTGAGGTGACAGGGGCTCACCCACCTTGGCTTTGGCCTTGGCTTTGGCCTCTCCCGCGAGGGCCTCTCGGTTCTCGCACTAGGAATGTGGAATGTGGGGAGCAGCTGCACTGAGACCACAGTCAGCACCCCCTACCGTCACCTGCTCCCACTCCCCCCAGTGCCTGGCTCCTCTGCGCTGCTCTCCGTGAGCCCGTTCCTATGGTGACGCTCTGTGCCTCCAGAGGCCCTACCTAGCTGTCTGCAATTGTGCTCCAGCTAGCGATGGGGGCAGGGGGCCCCTGTTCCCCCACCCAACACCATGGGGTTGTTGGACACCCAAACGCAGGCTGGGTCTAATCCGATGAGCCTTAAATTGAGCCCCACACAAAATATCCCTTCTTCCTCCCTCTCCACCTGCGGGGGCTCCCTGTGAGCCACAGGGCTGGACCCTGGGGCCCAGAGAGGCTGAGCAGTTCTCCCCACGTCACACAGGAAGGCAGCGGCAGAGCAGAACTAGAACAGCAGGACTGGAACCCAGCAGGACGGCCATGAAAGTGGATCATGAACAGCGCTTTGAGGGACCCCAGGTTCCCTTGTTGAACAGACCCATCTGCGGTCAGACGGGAAAGCCCACAGACTCAGAATCGATCGTGTCACAAGACAGGATTCTAGCTGGGTCTGAGGGGGGTGGTCCTCTCTTTACTGTTTCTGCTTCCTGGGGCTGGCCCCCATCTCTCCCGCCTTCTCTCTCCTGCCAGGCCTCAGGCCTGCCCAGCCACCTGCGTGACAGAACCCGCTCTCTCTGCCTTTGTTCCTCCAGGGGTAGTGCCTGTGTGGGAGCCCCTGCCACCCTGAAGGTCTCTCTGAGCCTCTGATCTCCATTCATCACCCCCACCCCGAAGCCTCCTGGAGGGCCCTGGAGTTCTGCAGTTGCCAGAGCCAAGCTTGGGATTCTTCCTCGGCCTCACACGAGTGTGTGTGCGCACAGGCCCCAGGTCCTGGGTCCTCCTCCCCCAGTGGCTCTCCCACCCACTCCCACACTCCCATCCTGGTCACCACCACCCTGGCCCAAGCCCTCAGACCCTGTCACCAAAGGTTGCCTCAGGCTGCAGGCCTCCCAACTCTCTGAGGTCTTCGGGGCAGGGGTCTGAGAGAGGTTTCCTAATGCAAGTCTGTTCAGACTGTGGTCCTGTTTAAGGCCTGCACACTGGGAGGAGGATGGAGGCAGGA